CACAGTTTGGCCATAACGAACACCCTGTTCGAACATAAGAGTGATGTGAACCAATATAGATTTTTTTTGTTTTTTTGGCTAACTATGCAACTAATACTCTGTTAAAGTTTGATTTTAAGAACCTCAGAGCTGGAAATATTAGGCTTCTGGACAAAAAGTGACATGGAAAGCCTTGTTTGGGCCCTTTTAATAGGTGGTAAAACACATACATAGTGGCTGAAAACCCATAATATCAGCAGCTAAAACATACCGAACAACATTCAGGACACAGAGGCGTTCCCAGGTTGTAGGTCTGCTCCTCCCAGCTGGACACGAGGCTCTACCCTGTGGGCCTCTTCAATGCCTGTCAGGCTTTCAGTCACTATTTACAGTCTGTGGCTGTGCTGTAGGTGAAGGCAGGAATGGTGATCGACCTGAAAGTGGTTCTAAATACATATTTTCCCCCCTCACACATCCTTCCACACAGATATACACAGGTACATCCTCCTGTTAGGCCTTAGTGATGGATTTATCACTGCAGTGATGTCGCCACAGAGTGAGTGAGCTCAAAGAAAGCTTTTAGCTATTCTATGCTGTGATTGAGCAGGAGTCTCGGGGAAGTTTGGGTCAGTTTTGCAACACTTCCAGCCGTAGATGTGAAAGAAAAGAAAAGGCATTTCGTCACTGTGATTCTAGTCTCTCACCACTAGATGTCAGAATTTACAAATAATCTATTTCTGCTTCATCGTCTTGTTCTTCTGCCTTCAGCCTTTTTATTTTTCCTTCATTTTGGAGCTGCTGATGTCTCAGTTTCTGTCAGTGTGTTTCAGGGGTAGAGATGTGCATTGTGACAGCTTCTCATACTAATAGCATATAAAGGAAAATATTAAAAAATGCAAAAAAAAAAAGAAAAGAATATATTGAGCAAAGTTGCATTTAAAAAATCAGTGAAAAATTAAAGTTTTGGATATTTGGGGTGGAAGCACAAAATGCACAGTTGAGCAATGAAGCGATGATTGTGTCTTAATGTTACCTGTCGTTGGTTTGAGGCTTAGGGTTCATGTGTGGTCAAACTTTCACAGGTCTCTCTGCACTGCTGTGAAAAACGAAATACAACCCACAGCTCAGCAGCTTGTAGAGGCTCCTTCAGCAGCAGTAAGTCAAAGTCATTGATGTCTGCACGACTTTGTTGCTGTGGAGGAATTTTGTCTCACACTGCTTGACTTCAAAGAGGTTTTCAGTGTTCGTTTATGCACAGCTCTCTGAAGGTTGCACCACATCAGTTCTTTTTCTGCCATTTTCTTGTAGACTTGCTGCGCTGCTTTCATGACCTCATTTTGGCCAAGCTTTAGCTGTGAAGCAGGTGGCCTCACATTTGCCTCAAGAATAATTTGTTATGCAGACGAGTTCATGGTCAAATGAGTGACAAGGTGCCCAAATCATTGTGCCTGCGCCACTGTGCTTATAGGTGCTGTGTGCTCTTTTTAGACAGCAGATGTTTGCTCCTGGCAGCCCTTCCAAACATGTGATGTTCAGTTCATAAGAAGATGTTGTGTAGAAGGGAGTGTTTTTATTAGAAGTGCTCGCAGCCTTTAGTTTAGACAAATGAAGACAATCAGGTCTGAGAGAGGTGACTGTAAACACCGCCTGCCTGTGTGTGTTTGTTCGCCCAGCTGTTTATTCGGCTCCGTCCTGTGTGTGTGTGTGTGTGTGTTGGTTTTGTTTTCTTCCTCCTCCTCATCGTCCTCACAAAGAGACTATCCACACGAGCAAACAAATGAAACAACACCCACACACACACACTTAAGGCCAGTCGCGGGCTCTGGGAAGTCCCCTGGTTGTGTATGAAATGGTATACCAGATCATGTGGGGTATGCATTTACTTTGGATGTTTGCAGTAACATAAAACATTAAAACAAACAGTCATTAGTTCCAGGCCTCAGGATTGTAATATCACAGCTTGAAACGTTTCCTTGTGCACATAGATCTGGATGAATACGTCCTGCTGAAGAGCCCCTCTTAAGCACGTCGCAGACTCTGTGCTCGCTGTCCTTCAGCTGACCTGCTGACATCCTGCTGCACAGGCCTCCGTGCTTACAGCTCTGTTATTGTTTCTGTGCATCTACCATAATCCTTTGCAAAGAGAGCGAGAGATGAGGAGGGAAAAAAACTTCATCTCAGTTGATTGGCTGGAAATCTACAACATGATCAAGCTGCCAACAGTAGGAATGTGTCACATCTATGCTCCCTTCAAAATAAAAGCAGAAATGTGACCATTCAGACAAAATCCGGACTACATTTATATGTTTCTATGAATTATGAGCACTGGAAACAATATGTGAAAATTTTAATAAAGAAAGAAATGTAGACCTATGTTGATTCATTCACTTGTCTGTCTTGGATTGTTTTGCTATTTCAAAAATAAATGTGAATAAAATATAACATAGTTTAAGGTTCATCTTTACAGCAGAAATTTGACATTTGGCAAAACATTCTACTCAGTGTTTGAGGAGATTTCCCCCCATAATCACTGTAAATTAGGAAAAGATGAAATAGTCTCCCCATTAGCACCCTTTAAATAAAATACATTTCCCCCATAAATTAGAAAAATTGTTTCATTTAAACTTTGTGCATTAAACTCATCATCAAGGTTTTCAATGAGGTAAGATGGCATCAGCTGTCTGTGTTACAGGAACTAAAACAGTGAAGAAAACAGTAACAAAAAATTAATAAAAAGGCAATAAAACAGAATTACAAAATATCTCATCAGTATTAAAAAATAATAATAATAATTTAAGTATTTTAAGTTTAGATAATAAAACTGAATGTAATCCCACACAATCGAGTAGGAAAGGCTCAATTTAAAAAGAGAGCAAAATTATTCTCAGACAAAAGAAAGAAAATTAAAGCAAACGTTTACTTTATTTACTTTATTTTGAAGTCCAGACGGACGTAACGCGGTCGTCAGCAGAAGCTTTTATTTCTAAAGGCTGTAAGCGGAAGCAGTGTGGGTTTATTGTGGTTTAACTTGACGCTGGTGCCGGACAGCTGCCACACTGGACTCGGACTGAGCCGGACTGTGTAAGTAAACCTGAAATTCGTCGCTTTTCCTGCCTCCAGACGGTCAGACCGTGTTTGTAGGGATGGTTTACCCGGGCAGCAGCGGCCTGGTTCAGGGCCACAGGCTGTCGGAGAGACGGTTAATGTAGGCGGGAGAGGAAATGGGTCGATGTTTTTAGGCCTGTGACTACAGTTTGAGCTCCACGGGGAGGAATTGAGCACTGGTGACAGTTTAATAGGTATATTTACCACCGTGAGTATTATATCTGTACCAAACACGGGAAATGAAAAGCAGCGGATTCACAGCAGTAACACCCTAACTGATCCAGGTTGATCTGATTCATGAGGTGAAAGAGCTGTAAAATCAGGGTTTATTCAGCTTTGTCTGTAAAAGGTTCATATATTACCAGGAGCGACTGTAGGATTCTCATGGGGTGGCACAGGGACCAAGAACACTACTTATATTAGTGTACTTGATTTTTAATATTTGTGCTACTTATGTTATTCAGCTCTTACATCGTGTTTTCAGATTTATTTTGTCCTTTATGTTTTATTTTTCCTTTTTCTGTCTTTAACTTTATTAATGTTTAATTTACTTTAGTTTCTTGTTTTCTTTTTGTTTGATTTCAGCTCACTTTGTCTGTTTTGTTTGTTTTAGTTATTCCATCTTTTTTGATAAACAGGTTATTATATGTTGAAGGCCCAGAGGAAATCAGAATGCCTGATCTGAAATAAATACAATGTAGAAAATTAGTGTTAAAAAGATTAGGAGGTATTTTTAGGCTCACGTGCTGCCCTGTGGCTTCATGCAAATGTTCTTACACGAGAAGAAGTGAACAATTTTTTGCTTTGAATAATTGTTCAGGTCGTGAAACGAGTATTTAGACTCAGAGCTTTCTGTGGAATATCGATAAGAGTGTCCAATCGAGTGTACTTCTTGTCCTTCCTTTGTGTGTATTTTAATTTATACTTTTTATTTTCCCTTTACTTTAAATTATTACATTCTTTTATTTATACATGTATTTTATTTGTTTCATAAAGGAAGTCTTTGTAGGGTCTGTATAAAGTTTTTATTTGATGTGCCGTATTTGAATGCATCACTCGGGCAGATGTTCATCGTACACCTGTACGATGACAAAAACATTCATTCTAGTCTATTCTGTTGCTTAATCAAAAATTATAGTCCTATATAAGCACAGAAGTTTTAAAGTCAAAGTTAGGGGTCATCAGGTCAGCAGTATGTACTGTGACATCATCAGTCAGATGTGAGAACTAGAGAATAGCCGTGTTTTCCCCTGAGAACTTGAAGTAGCAGTTGAATGTAACTTCTTAACAAGTTTACAGTAACAGTACATCAACCTTGTGATCTCAACAGAAAGCCTTCTGCACGTCGTAAAACTGAAAGTGAAAAATATCGCTGTGGAGGATTTAAAAAAGAATGTTGGGTCAGGATTTTAAAGCTGTTGTTTAACCCCCATCAGTAATTTCCATGTACTGTTTGCTCTTCCTGTCATATAGAACACAGCTATAGTATCAATACAGGGACACCAAATATCAATATTTTATTAATTAATAAGAAACGCTTAGCTAACAAATCTACCTGCTAATTCAGAGCGAGCTAATTACTTTGTCACAAGGGTAACCATAGACAGCTAGCTGAGGCCGAGGGTGTTGCACACTCTTTTTTTACGACAATCATCATTAGGGGCTTAATAATTTTCAGTTGTAGACCTTATAAATGTGAATACTGTTAAGCAAATAGCTCCAATAATAATAATGGATTGCATTTATATAGCGCTTTTCTCTCACATTCACACACTGGTGGAGGCAGCTACAGGTGTAGCCACAGCTGCCCTGGGGCAGACTGACCGAGGCGAGCCCGCGCCATCGGCCCCTCTGGCCAACACCAGCAGGCGGTAGGTGAAGTGTCTTGCCCAAGGACACAACGACCGAGACTGTACGAGCTGGGGCTCGAACTGGCAACCTTCCGATCACAAGATGAACTGACAACTCCTGAGCCACGATCGCCCAATACTTACTATGTCGTTATAAATATGCAAAATAATAAGAAAGGAAAAGCTGTGTTGGCACCAAAACACTAGTTGGTGGTGGAATTGCTGCCTTCAAGTCGATCCATTCTCTTCTAGTAGTTTGGACAGTGGAATAATTCGATGGAGATGCATCATCTGCTTATATTTCTATTTACAGTGTAGGGTTTCAGAGTACAACACAGAACAATTAATTCTCTGTAATTTGTGCTAATTTAACGAACGAAGGTGGAGTTACCTGAGTGTCACTGGGTTTTTTGGTGTTTAAGATTTCAATCACTGAGGAGCTGCTGAGCCGGAAAAACCGTGGACTTAAAATAGCCACCGTGACATCACTTACTGGTCTGTGGATTATGGTTTTGAAGCTTTGCATCTGCCATTGTTGAATTTGAGAGCTTGTATGAATGAATGACAAGTGAAAGTCAACATGTGGTATGACCTCTTTTATTATTTAACACAGTCTGAACTCTCTGAGGCGGCTTTCTTGTCCCTTCTTTAAGTAGTCTTCAGGAATAGCTCTCCAGGCTTCTCCAAGAACATCCAGAGCTCTTCAGTTCCAGTAATGGGATTACATAATTTCATCAGTTTTGACAAAGCTGCCGTCAAACTGTTACAGAGCCTTCACTGTGTTTCACAGATGGCTGAAGACATCGTAAGAAGCATGAGGGGTGTCTCGAGACTTTTGCACAGAGCCGTTTCTTTTACCTGATCCCAGTTTGTTTTGCTCCTTCTCTACTCGTGTGCTGAATATTTGCACATTTCCAAAAATAACCCAAATCTTTTTTCGCTCGAGTAATTCAAAGTGAAAATTCGAGGAACTGCGTTTGTGTTTTTTAACACTTCTATGTTGGCGTCATCCAAACAGTCATAACTGGTGACACCAATACTTCCCCTGTTAGCTGAGGAAGGAAAGGCAACAGTATGAAGCTCTTAGAGACTTTTTAGAAAGAGAACCTTATGAGTGTCTGCCACTTATCTGCTGTACAACTCAGACCAGGGTAGGTGGAAGAAAATGAATGGATGGACTTGCATTGCTAACATTCATTCACACTTATTGTGTTCTGAATTTGCATTCCCGTACCTTTGCTAGCTTTCTGTCTTTGAGCAACTCCCGCGTTATGTTATTTTCCTTTAATCAAACAAAAGGTTAAAGTGGAAAAAAAGCTAATTTTTAGTTGTTTTTCTGATTTTTGTGCTATTCTAAAACTCTCATGGCTTCATGTTTTCTATTGATCTCTAAGTCAATGGAGATCTTAAAACTGTAAGATCTCCATTCCCCCTTAAAACTGTAGCATCACCTCACTGTCAGCCGTGTACATGAAACTAATATTCATACAAGTTTGTCATTGTTTAGGCATTTTCACCAAATTTAAAGAAAGTTGAAGAAATCTAAAGGCATGAAATCAGGTGTAAGATATATTCATCCTTCGGCGGTGCTCTGAACTGTTCCAACAGGATTTTTTCACTTTGAAATTGAAAATGAAAACCACAAAGTTGAGCTCTGTGACAGCGAGCCGCCTCCCTGTGAAACTTCTAACCTGCTTCTGCTGTTTTTTTTGGCTTAAAGTCTGCTTTCACGGACCAAATTTTACTCATCCCATGATGGGTGGGTGTGCCTGAGACACTGAGGAAATTGCACACTCTTACAGCGGTGACTCGTCAGCGACAGGGTAGTCACACCCTGAAGCAGTGGTTTTCAGGCTTTTTGTGCACAAGCCACAGCAAACTGTCTGCCCTAATTTGAAGCCACACCTGTTTTCATATCTGCTCAAAATAACATCAGAGTCATCTAGCGTGCCATCAGTTGTTCTTTTGATTGTCTTTTGTGGTTTCTTGACTGTTCACGGCTCTTTTATGCCAACGCATTAGCATAAAGGTTGCCTCCGACGTCTTATCAGACACAGCTCAGTGGACCAGTCCTGCAGCGTCTGCTTCAGACTTGACTAGACCAAGTTTGTCTCAGAGGGAATGTTTGTTTTCAGACTGGCTGTTTAGTTTGTTCGGCGCTATGTTAGCATTACCCAGATAACACACTCTGAAAATGACTGACATCCCCACTCCAGCTTCCAGTAGCTTTAGCTTTCCCCCCACTTCTTAGTCAGTCGCTTTGTTAGCTGCACTGGCAAATTGCAGTTTTCCATTTAAGAAAATGATCTATTTCCCTTTTATTGTCAATCAGGGCCTTTGATGTGTTATGTTCTAATAATTCCCACCATTGTGCAATAATGGGAATGGGCTGTGGTTTTCCTTTGACACACATTTTTTAAAGCAGTATTTTAGGGGAAGTGACTGTGTATGAAGTACTGATACAGTACAGTACATTATGCAGAATACAGCATGTGATGTATGGCTGTCAAAAAATTCAAGGCTCACCTACTCTTGTCTGAAGTCACACCATTGTTGCTTGGACACCATCTGGGGGTCGGTCCCCTGAAGCATGCTCGGCCTTATTGCCTGTTTAAGTCTGCAGAAATGACAAAACGAACATCATTGTTGTAGCGATTGAAGCCTTAAACTCTTCAGGAAAATGTTTACTCAAGTACTAAATTAAGTTAGCAGTTGGACTATGTTTAGAGAGTTTTTTGTGGGTCGTTAACATCTTTTTTCTCAACGTCCATCTTTGTTATCTGCTTTTTAATGCTAACATGTGAATATTAGCCTAACCATAGCTCTGTAGGTCACCAGGCATCACTAACCTTTCAAGTGCTGCAGGTTAGTTTTCATCTTTGTTTACGTCCAAAGTTAAAGCAGAACTGCATGTTTAGTGTTTTTTTTTTTTAAATACTTAAGTCAGATATATCATCTTCAGATGGAAACTAATTAGATAGTTTAATTGTAATTGTAACTTGGCTTAATGTTGTATATTCCCTTTTCTTGTGAATGTGAGAATATGTTTATAATATGTATTTATTGTAACACCCGTGGGAGTAGCTAAACTAGAATTTTGCAGGTATCTGAACTTGAATCTGGGTGTTAAAACTCTTTGTTGGCCAAAATGCTCAGGCAGCAATTGGAAAGAAAGGGAACACGTTTGGCTTTTCCTCCTGCTTTAAAGGAAAATTGAGCAAAGCTGGACATGACATAAGAAACGTGAAATGCAAAACTCTCGTTACTCCTGATAGCTGGAGCAAAGTTGAAGTTCAGTTTGGACCAGACATTCAAGGCAACTTAAACCAGTCATTGAAAATGTTGATACATGGTGAGGTTTGAAGCCGCTCTGGGGTGAAGACACAAAATAAATGTCTGTATGATTGATTTCAGCAGACATGTTGATTCTGGCATTGCAGTGTGAGAGTAAATCACAGAGCTGGGAAAACAATAGTCTTTTACCTCTTAGGGTGTGTGTGTGTGTGTGTGTGTGTGTATTACTCATATTGTCACGGCATGAATCTGTTTGCATAGCCTCTATGGAAACAAAAGACAAGTCCCTGTAATGTAAATCATTAATTTTCATCCTGAGCGTTAGGGTAAGGGTTGGATTAGGATTAGTAGAGTTAAGGTTAAGTCTGTTGAATGTAAATCAATCGAATGTCCTCTGAAGTAATGGAAAGACAAGGGTGTGTGTGCGTGTGCATGTGCGTGTGCGTGTGTGTGTGTGTGTGTGCGTGCCTGAAAGTTTTTAGTGTGACAAACCACACTTTACATCTGCATGTTTCAATGACACGTTGTGTATTTGATGTGAAGAAAACTGTCATTTATGTATGAAAGGAATCCGGTGCACAGGAATGAGCGTTCACGTTTTCCCTACTTAAAGACAGTGGTATGCACTATGCATGAAGGAAACTGTTGAAGACAAAGTAGATTCTGAAAGTGAAGGTTGGATTAGTATTATCTTCCTTATCTGGAAAACTTCATGCTGGGCTTCATTAGCTATGAAAAGGCTGCAGGCGTTTCAGCGACTTACCTGCCAGTAGAAACTCTGAGGGGACTGAGGCTTTTGAAAGACATGAATCTTAGCAGCCGGCAGTAAATTGCTGTAATTGTTTTTTATTTAAAATTAAACTTTGAGGTTACAGTTAAAAGCAGGTGAAACATGTAGTCCAGTAAAGTCCACTCCCACTGGAAGAGTGACCCTTCAGAAACATGCACAGAGAGAGCAGTTTATGTGGAAAGGTAAAGACGATGCAGTAATACAAAGAAGAAGAAAAAATGAGAAAGCCCCAAATGTGCAAGCACTTGGCAAAAGTAGAAAGAAAAAACTCCCCTTTAGAAGGAAGAGACCTCCTCCAGAACCAGGCCAAACCAACTTAATTGGCTCCTTTTATTGTGGAGGAGTTGCAGCTCTCCATGAGTTCCTGCTGAAGGACTGAGCTCTGCAGCACCCACTCACAAACAGGAACCCAAGATACTTGAACTCCTCCACCTAAAGCAGCAACTCCTTCCCACTACAGAGTGACGTCAGACTTGCTAATTCTCATTCCTGTCAGTTTTTACCTACTCAGCTGCAAACTGGAAGCTGGACGTCACGAAAAACCAGATCTGGCAGGCAAACCAGTCTTCCCATCCTTACTGGAAAAATGGAACACAAACTTTCACTTGTTTCACTTTCTCTACATGTTTTTGGGATACAAGTTTAGCAATAAGATAAAACAGAAAAGCAACAGACTTGGTAAAAACAGAAAAACACCCAAGCTGCCAACCACTGTTAATTAGACCCGTATGTCTGTACTGAGTCAGCAGTGTAAAGAAATGTGCATTGTTCACTAGTCATAGATCAGCCATAGATCAGTCATAAATTCCAAACCTAGCACCTTTAACCTGCCTTGACACTTGTGTCTAAATGTGTGTGCAGAGTTCCTGTGATGCCCCAGAGCGGGCTGAGCTGGTCGGGGTTGCGATGCCTTACGTGGACCGACAGAATCGCTTCTGCGGCTTCCTGGACATCGAGGAGAATGAGAACAGCGGCAGGTTCTTGCGCCGTTACTTCATCCTGGACACTGAGCAGGGCAGCCTGCTGTGGTACATGGATAACCCCCAGGTAAGGCTGTTTATGAGCTGAAAACATCTTTATCATCTGAAAAGAAACTGTTTTTATAGGTGTTTTCATCTGAGGTCATGATGTCTTGGGGTGTGTAGTAAGAACATAAATGCAGGCCTTTTATTTTGAAGTTCAGAAGCCATTACAGGTATTGACTTTGGTTTTCTTACCTCCAAGTGGCAATAAACAGCTCGTGAAAATCATCATGCAGGGACTTGAATCGCTTCAGGGATGTAATCCACCACATTGTTGCACAGCTCATATTTTAGATGCTTCTTAAGAATCAGCTGCATGAAGCATCAAAGTCTTTGTGCTACAGCAGCATTTTTCTGTTGGCGTGCGCTGACACCGTGAAGCTCGGCTCTCGTATTGTTCTGCATTTTTCTGCTACCTGAAAAGGTGCTGCAGACGTCTCTGCCCGTGACTCTGAAGCCCACTGCTTTTTTGCAACAGGAGGAAGTAGGAGCTGTTGCACCGGGGAATAAATTTTAATTCACTTTCACACTCTGCTGTGCAGCAGGATGGTGTGTGTGGGAGTGAGTCAAAATTAACTCCTCTGTGTGCGAGCTCATTGTGATGAAGGGACATGTCAGACACGTGAATCACACCACTGATGTGTTTTTCAGAGGCGCTGGAGCCGTACAGCCCCCTGAGACCCTCCCTCCTCATATGAGGACGTTACACTTTGGCTTTTCTGCACCTTATACTTCATTAAAGGGTTTTGTTAAGCAACGGTTACTTTAGAAAGAATGCAGGATTAGGGCACTTCCTCCTTGGCTTCACTGTTCAAATCTGAAATCTGATTGAGTAGTCTCACCTCTGCATGAAACCAAGCAGACAAACGGGAACCAGAACAGAAACAGGTTAGCGATAGCACTGAGATTTCCTACTGTTGGGGAATTTCTAAAACTTGTCGCATCCTCATGCCCAAAGCTGGTCGGACTGCCAGCGCACAGAGCTTTGGTATTTTCCAGATGATCTTCCCACATAGATGTTTATAACAAGTATTGTGAGATCAGAGAAGACTGAAACCGGTTCTGACCATGTCATGTTTTTTATTCATATCTGACTCTTTGGATGAAGTTAAGCTCTCTTATGACTCCACATCATCGTCTTTTACATTATTTTGTCATTTTTACTGAACATTACTGAAAGGGGAAAAAAGCAAACTCTTCTTAAGATCATAAATTTAAGAAAAAGAATAATTCATGTTTTTAAATATCATGTTGTGAAATCTGTAAATAAACGCAGGAAATACTGTTGTTGGTTTCCATCATAGCAGGCAGCAGTGATGCTAGCGCTACTACCTTGTTCACTTCTGTTAGTTCTACGTCTTCTCGATGCAATCACGAATGGCTGATGCTGATACATTTGTGTACATTTGTGCTTTTTCTCTTCAGAATCTGCCCAAAGGTGCAGGAAATGTGGGCTCTCTCAATCTTTCCTACATCTCCAAGGTTAGTCCTCACTCTTCCACACACACCGTTTCACCTGCACTCTCTGTGCGTACAAACGTGCTTAAATCTGTAAAATCCGTTGTTATTTTGGCGTGTGATTTCTCTTGGTACCAGCTGTAGACTGAACAGAACATCTGCTGGATTATCGCCTCTTCCTTTTCATGACTCTATCCTAAAGCCTGTCGAATTCCTGTGGCGTCAGCCGGATTTTAAACTCAAAAAAATGAAACCGAATAAATTCAGAAATTCATTTGAAAGTCACACAGTAAATAGATGCTTCAGAACAGGAAGAAACCTCCAGAGGAACAGGGCTCAGGGAGGGGCGGCCATCTGCCACGACCAGTTGGGGGTGAGGTGAGGGAGACAGGACAGACGATACACTGTGGAAGAGAGCCAGCGATTAATAATAAATTGGACTTTTCTAATTTTAGAGATGTTGCACAAATACAAGAAAGCAAGCCTACAGTTTTTTTTAATATGTGCATTGAAGGACAACGCCGAGATTCCTCACAGTGTTACTGGAGGCCGAGGTAATGCCATCCAGAGTTAGCATCTGTTTAGATACCATATTATTATACGAATTTTGAAGCAGGAAGTTAAACCTTATTCTAAGATGGGCATAGAAGTGAAAATGTTTTCTGTGCCTTGTAATAATACTGCTGAAGGGAAGCATGTATAATGTAAACAGAACTGGTCCCAGCACTGAACCCTGTGGAACTCCATAATTAGCCTCAGCGTGTGAACTCTCCATTTACATGAACAAACTGGAGTCTGACAGCTAAGATTCAGACCACTGCTGTGAGTGTAGCATCTTTATAGTATGATATGTCGTTTTCCTGAGTTTTTCCCAAATGTGTGGTTTTCTGTAGGCCACATTCGTCTTGTCCCAGCCACAAGTCCACCTTACATCGGCTAAATGACAGCGGTGCCAGGATTTATCCGTCCCGTACTCTGCCATTAGCAGCATAGAATTATCACAGATGAGTGGGTTCATGTTTTTGGTGGGTTGTGCTGACACGTTTACCCTTTACTCTTCTCTCTCGCTAAGGTCAATGATGCCACCAAACAAAGACCAAAGGCAGAGTTCTGCTTTGGTAAGTTCGTCTTTATTCCCTCTCACCCTGCACTGCGTCTCTCTGCCTCCTTCCTCTTTACCTGCGTAGTGACTCTGGCCACATACATTTCTCTTTGCTTTGCTTTTGACCTGTTTCTGTGTGGCTTTGTTTCCAGTGAGAGGAACTATCGGTGCTCCAACACGCTGACGTTTTAAACAATAGCATGCTTGTAACTTTGTGGCAGCAGATTGTCCCTTTCCTGTTTCAACATCACAATGTACCTGTGTGCAAACAGCTGTGTACGAGAACACAACCGGCCTGCACAGAGCCCTCAGACCCCACTCCTTCCTCACTTCCTTCCCAGTCTCCTTTGTCCTCAATCCTTCCTTGTTTCCTTCCTTCCTCGTCGTTCTGCCCTACCTCTTTTCTTTCTCACTCCCTTCCTCCCTCTTTTCCTCATCTGTGCGGTTTATTTCCTCTCTTTTGTCCCTTGCTACTTGTTGTTCCTCTGCTGTCAAACAGTAGGCCTTTGTCACTCAATAGGAGGAAACTGTACAATGACAAAGACCTGACCTCTGTGTGTGTATTTGCATCTGGATGGGATAATGGCACACACACACACACACACATCCTCTGGCTCTGAAACAGAAATAAGACGATATTTTTAGATACCCATGGAGCTCGTTTCTCTTCTTCCTCTTGTGCTTTCGAGCCTTACACATTCCTCTCTCTCCCTCTCATTCGTTCACAGTTATAAATGCAGGAATGAGGAAGTTTTACCTACAGGCCAACCGACCCTAACCATGATTTGGTAGAATGGTTAGTGTTCTCAACAATCCAACAAGATCTGTGGCAACACACCACAGCACACACACACACAGACACACACACACACACACACACACACACACACACACACACACCGCACACACACACACACACACACACAGACACACACACACAACAGATCGTTGACCCTGTTTGTCCTCTTGTTGTGTGTCGCTCTGTCTTCAGCCTCGGGCTGCAGCATATGGAAAGTTACACATCAGGCCACTGTGATAAAGATCAGTGCAGGCGTAGCAGCGTGTAAAGACACAACAGCATTAAAGCCACCTGCAGCTGCTGTGGTCTGCAGTCAGCTGACAAGTTTTCTGTGCACACTTTCATCTTTTCCAACTCCCTGCCTCTCTATAATCAAGGAATCTCCGAACTCGTGCGCCGATATCGACGCACGTGCTGCGCTGACCGCTGCTGAGTTGAGCAGGCGGGCAAAAATCTGTTGGGTTGCAAATGGAGGGTCCTGTAGAGATGCACGGCCAGCTGAAATGACACCGAGACGTCGCTTGTGTCAGCAGATGCCATTTTCCTTTTTGTGTGCACCATCCTTTGCAAGGGCGACAACAGCAAGTGCATTAGCCTAACTAAAGGACTCGCAGCATTGGTCGGGTTATGTGCAAACAGTGACGTCGCCACAGCTCTGTACCATTTATACCAGCGCTAAGGTCCTTGGGCTATTCTCCGGTGTACATCCACGTCAGCACAGGAGATGTTAAAAACCACTGAAATCACTTTGCTCCTGATTTTGACTTTCGAGTTTTGGTGGTAAAAACTGGCAGTCGTACACTCTAAAACCCAGCAGGCCACCTGCATTCGATTACTGTATTAGCCGGCTGCTAAGCAGAAAGGCGCACTTGCTGCCAAAACTACACCACAGTGTGGTTTTCACCAGCAGATGTCATGCCACTATTGGCATGTGCAGTCTCAGTAGCAGCTAGAATAGGCTGACCGACGCCATGCTGTGGATGGATAACCTCAGACGCTCTGGCTGAAGTCTGAAGTCTGTTTTCAGTGTTTACCTCTGCTTCTACTGAGAGCGATCCTCGTCGTGTCTTCCCTGTGCTGATGTGCTTATACTAGGCTAACAACTGCTCTATAACTAGTCACCAGGTCAGTCCTCATACAGTTTAGACCACCTGTACGTGTAATGTCATGTTTCCTGTGAGGCTTTAGTGCCTTAACACGCAGGGTGTGACAGTATTGGCTGCTAAACTACAAAGTCGAGGTTATTAAATCACAGGGGTGGAGGGAGCATAGTGGGAAAAGTAATACCCATCACAGCAGTAACACTGCTTACTGAAAAATGATTAGCTGGGAGTGGCAGATTCACACCACCCATCCTTTTATCGTTTATTCCTTTTCCATCTATCAGAGTCCAGGAAGGAGTCTAAAACAGCACTGATTTTAAAGTTAATTTCTGGTGTCTGCTTGTTATTTTAAGCTGTGAGCACCTCTCCTTTAAAGGAATGGTACATATGTAACATGCTGGTTGCAGAATGAGCTTCCTGTCAGACTTAGACCTCTGCTCCAGTTCAAGGTGTGAAAATAACCATCGTCACTCTTTAAGACCAAAGCCAATAACTGATCCTAATAGCTTTTATCTCTATTTAATTAGCATTGCTAGCGTAATGTGAATTCCTATGATAAATAACATGCAGAGAGTTAAGAAAAAAGGTGAAATAAAGCCCAAGCTCTTAAAAATAGTGAGATGTGGAGCCTTTTTGCTCTGTTTTCAGGTGCCAAAGCCTGGCGAGGGCCACAACACCCACGCAGAGACTCCCCAGGAGCTGCTTGGAACCGTGAAACAGGTCTCCTACAAAACTGAGATCATCGGAGGAGTCCCCATCATCACGGCCACTCAGGTAACGCTCACAGCTGCGAGCGGCAGGAGCAGCTCGGCAGGTCCGGTCCTGCCTGTGCTGGTATGCAGCTGCAGATATGAGTCAGCTCGCAGGAACACAGGCGAGTTAAGGCTGGTTTAATTATGAGTCGGAGGTTTTAAAAATATCGAGGGGAACGCGCATCGACATTTAGCTGCTGATAGCTGAGGTTTGTTTTTATTTGTTAAAGGGGACCTCTGACAGTTTTGCACATCTGTGATTGTTACGCCGGTTTTAGGAAGTAAAACTGCAAAATCTTTGTAATCCATCGTTTGTTTATGATTGAGACTAGCGACCCCAGTCAGAGGAGTTGCATTATGGGTAATATATCATTGAAAACAATGACAAGAACAGGAAGAATGCATGGATTAAAAATATCATCGCTGACTGTTGTCTTATTTTTATTCTTGGACTCTCTTAGGGTAGCTTTGGATGATTCAGAGTTCATAATAATCCTTATTTGTTTTACACCGGGCTTTCATGCTGCCCCTCAGTTCATCCTCTGTGTGAAAACAACACGTTTAGCTCCTCCCTCTTAAAGTCTTTCAGCTTTCTTCTGATTGGCTGCCCCTCAAAACGCAAGATTGGATCAATGGGCTGGCAGGTGGCCGGTGTGTCGTGGTAGGGGTATCCCCTCTCGATGACATCACCGGGTGTCAGAAGTAAAAAAAAAAACTGTGTGAAACCGAGTGTTCAGAGCAGTTTGAATTGGAGAAATGAAGTGTGGACGTGCTGACTGGACACGGCTCAGTGTGGAAGTAAAAAGTCCACAAACTCTTCAGCAGAGGACGACTTTAGAAATCAGTTGAAACTTTAAGACTTCAGTGTTTTATATATGTGAGAAAATCTCGTCCTGCACTAAAGTTTATTTCATCATTCTGATTATAAGCAGTTAAAATGACTCCAGATGAAGTCTAATGTTCGTGTGTGTGTGTGTGTGTGTGTGTGTGTGTGTGTGTTTAAGGAGCAGGGAGAGGGGCACAATGGAGCTGATCGTGGAGGCGTAAAGCGGGCTCAGAATCAAATGCCCTACTTCCTGTCCAGAGGAGCGCAGGATCAGGCCATCATCAAAGCAGGATACTGTGTCAAACAAGGAGCTGTGGTGAGACACACACACACACACACACACACACACTCAGGGTTATTCAGTGTCGTCATAATGAACCATCACGTTTGGTTGGATAAAATCTCACACAGTAATCAGATAAAAATACTTTTGTGTTATTAATGAGCAACAGTCGATGTTCAGAAGAGAAAAATCTTTGAAAATAACTCGGTCACTGGTTTCAATCTTAGAAAAACAAGGTAAACCTTTCACTGCAGTTACCTGCCATATTAAAATAATGTTTTTTAACAGAAAATATTTCTTTCCAAAAGTGAACAATAACCACAGGCACAGTAAGAATACAGTCTGGTGCTTATAAATACACCGTATGTACAGGTGCGGCACAAAAATGTTAGAAAACAGAAGGAAGTGGCAGGCGTAGAACTAACCTAACTGTATTTCAAAATAAAACAGAAAGCAGCTAAACAGAAACTTTGAAACGTGCTTTGCTTCTTCCTCTCAGATGAAGAACTGGAAGAGGCGGTACTTTGTCCTGGATGAAAATTCTCTCAACTACTACAAAACTGACATGGTGAGGAAACGGCGAAGAGCTCAAACACGGTGACATCAGTGCTCAAAGACGCATCACGTTGCTCCCAAACAGACACTGAAGAAGAAGAGAGTGAAAAAAATCCGTGCTTGTTGCAAAACTTGCTGCGTGTCTCCACATGCAGAGGCATGCGTCCTGAATACCTCCTCATGTCATCTACGTGTGGACAGACTACGGCCTGTCTGTGCACATATATGGGCACACCCTGTGTGTGTGTGTGCGTACATATATGTGTGTCTGGCTGAGTGTTCACACCTTTTTATGTGTAATCATGTCCTGAGTGAGTGCAGCTGCTGCAGAGTGTTTGCTCTTCTACTGAGAGCTGAAGAAGGAAAGTTTGTTTCAGGAGATGGAGAAGAGAGAGCTGAAGCTGGTCTCAGTGATCCGTCTCACAAGCATTTCCCATATTCATGCAGGATCCGTATCCACACTGGAGGTTTTTGGTAGTCTGATTAATCCTGTAAAGCGAACACCTGAATGTTTCTGTAAAGTCCGACGTGTCATTTATTTGCCGCTCTTCGTTAAAAGCTCGTGAAGCTCGTTGACGTCCATGTTTACTCATCGCCTTCCTTGTGTTCACGCTGACATTTGTTTGCATGCTATCGCCGCTGACTGCGAGTCATACAGACCGACACAATCAAGCATTTAGATCATGCATATCATCAGCACACGCGTGTCTTCATGGATGCTGATCCGAATGACACACGGGCGAACTATCTGACAGTCAAATAACCCCAGCCTTCAGCAATAGCACACACTGAGCACCGTTTATAGGTGATTTACTTAGTTAGCGTCGCCAAGTGCTGATTATAGGCAGCTCATTAAGCCAGGTGATGCTGCACATCAGGGATGTCAGACTAATCTTCCATCGTGGTCACGTGCGCCCCAGTTTGATCTTAACTGGGCCAAACCAGGGAAGGTGGTGTTTCTGACAGCGTAAAGACATTTCATTAAACATTTAATCCCTGAAATGTCTTAATACATGAAATATAAGTGCAGGTTCAACAATACATCTCAGTTTTCTACCTGATACATGTGTAAAGTTACAGTCAATGTTCTGGCAGCTCATTGCTCACATGGAGCCACTGTAAAAAAAATCAAAAACGTCTGTAGCAGAGTGGATAGTAGAAAAAGAGGAACTTTTCTGTCATTTAATTGTTTAACGATTATTTTACTACTTGGTGCACCATAAGTGTCCATGGCGAGGTCTTTATTGATTCAAAAATACAGTTAAAAGTCTAAAATTGATGCACTCGTTCACATTTTATTGCAGTGGACCGGATTAGAGTCTTCGCTGGGCCGGTTCTGGCCCTTGGGCCTTACGTTTGACACCCTTGCTGCGTATGTTATGTATGTATGTTGGTGTAACCTGAGGTGATGATCTCTGATCAGTGTAAAAGCATGCCGCTCACTGCCTTCTGTGGTTTGACAGAGTGTGAATATGAAAGTTCGTCAGCTCAGCCGTGGCGTGAGTCGTCCTTTGATTGCAGTGAAGCCGCCGCGCTGCAGAGCTGTGTCGGATATCTAAACGTCTGACTTAGAGTCGCGTTTCCAATCGCTGTGAGACGACTGACGTTTTGTTCACTCGACTGACCAGAGCAAAGATTTAAACAGAGGTTTTTTTCTCACAAAATTTAAATGAAATCAAACGCAGACACTAAATATTACCCGACCCATCGTGACGAGGTCACGTGTTTCAGTTTGCTTTTGATATGTACTTCCTCTCCTCCGTCGTCTCAGGAGAGGGAGCCGCTGAGAGCCATCCCGCTGAAGGAGATCCACAAAGTGCAGGAGTGCAAGCAGAGGTCAGTCAGCCTCCCTGTCAGCTCTGTGTTTGGGTTGATTCAGGGGAAGTTCACTAAAACGTCTCCTCTGTGTCCTCCAGCGAGCACATGATGAGGGACAACCTGTTCGAGATGGTCACCAGCTCAAGAACCTTCTACATACAGGTAACACGCATGAGGAGGACGCGGTCATCAGTCAGGAGAAGCTCTTTCTGCACCGTTGTCTCATCTGTTCTGCTTTGAGCCAAATGAGTGTAAATTAGATTCAACATTTGCATGATTGCTCCACGCCTCCATCTTCTGAAGGATTTACTCTCTCCGCTGTCTCCACATGAGATACTGATGAGGATGTACTGATGGGACATTTGGTCGTCTTTGTTCTTTCCAACTCTTCTAACTCAACTACTGAGAAGGAGCGATTTACTGACAGGAAGACTTCGTTTAATCGAGTTAAAGTCACCGTATTATGTCATATGTACGTGTTTAGAATCATAGCGTGCATTCATTTACCTTCCTGTGTTTCTCTCTGTCAGGCTGACAGTCCAGAGGACATGCACAGCTGGATTAAGGCCATCTCAGGCGCCATCGTGGCCCAGCGCGGTCCCGGGCGCTCCGCTAACACTGTACGTATCATCTCAGGTGAAGCTACTTGGTAAAAGAGGTTTAGGTGACATGGAAAAGGATGAGTTTGATTTAACAGGACAGATGTAGCAGTTTTAGAACATGAATAATTCAGTTTAACTAAGATGGTACAAAGATGCTGCCATAATTGAAGATGCATTCCTTCTTCTCATTGGTCTTTAAAATGACTCTGAAGTGTTTCTTCCTGCTCACTTCACGCTGCAGCAACATGTGGCTGCATGAGCGAGTGCAGCAGTGCCACCATGTGGCAGAAACACAGCACTGCAGCAGCTTAATGAGGTCTAGAACTCTGTAAACCTTTATTAGATTTCTTTAATTAATTCAAAGATTTTTATTAACAAAACAATCTTCAGATGATTTGGGTGCTTAACCCAGTGTGGGAATATTTTAATTGTAAATCTGTCATTCGGGATGAGACGGAGTGTGAAGTCATTTGTGTGTTTGTGATTTTAATACCCTGCTCGTGATTTTGTGACACTTTCACAGATGATGATGACCGTGACTGATGCATGTGTTTTTGTGCATTTCTGTTAAATCTTTCTCGCACACACACACACACACACACACACACACACACACACACACACACACACACACACACCTAAAGAGTTTCCTTCCCAAACTACAAAAAACTATAAACATTCAAACCGAAGCTCGTCTGCATTACTGAAACCAACCTGGATCACAGTCTGAAGCTAAAGTCTTTTAACTTAACGCAGCGGTAAACTCCTGGAAGGATTTAAAGGACACCTCCTTGTTTTGTAGCAAATGAGGCTTTTTTGACTCAGAGCCAGTTTTGATTTTAACTTGCAATATTAACCAGATACAGTTTGTTCAAAACCTGAAATATTGTTTCACATGAGACCCAGACGCCAGACTGACATGAAGAGGAGTGGTGATTCTGCCAGTGATGACAGCTGGAGTGGAAATCAAACTGGTTTGTAAGAGAAAAACAAACCAGTTTATGGAAAAGCTCTAAAAGACGTCGATTTCAGACATTTTAAAGGTTTCTGATGCAAAACAACATTGTTATCTTTAGCCTTGTAACTGGTGGAAGAAGCAGACCACAGACAGCTTAGACAACAAGCACCTCTGGACAGCTGTTATCTTAGATCTCTCTGTGAAAGTCTCGTCATGTCCTCTTGTACTTGTGCATCTGTGATTGCTGCTCCAGTGTATCAGACCTTATAAAAACCCGCCATTCTCCCGATAACGCTCCTCGCCTGAAGCTATAACTAAGTTTGGAAACTATTAACTCCAAGTGAAAACTGCTCAGCTGTAGTCAGAGGTCCCCCCATCAGAGGAAATTCAGGCCGACCAAAGCAGAAGTCCATGACTGATGGTGAAATCACCGATTGCACAGTGCAAGTGTTCAGAACGGGACGTCCGAGCACAGATTTCACAAACAGCAGCAGAGCTGGAAGCTGTGTGAACCTGCCCGGAAGAGGATTACAGCCGCTGAAAAAAATGGGGGAATTTGGGGATTTCTTTCTCAGAATTCTGGGAAAAAATTCCAAAAGACTCCTCACTCTTTTCACTGGCCCTAAACTTCCAGTAACCATGACCCTGAAGGGGGATTAGCAACTTTTAATTGAGCTGTCCTAAGAATGTTTGGATCACACCTCACACAGATGTTTGTCACAAGAAATAAAAGCAGGTTGGCTGGTTTCTGTCTGTGTAAGGTGTGGATGATGGATGGATGGAGGGATAGATGGGTGGATGTGTGGATGGGTGGATGGATAGCTGGATGGATATGTGGGTGTATATGGTTAGATGGGTGGGTGGATGGATGGATGGATGTGTGGGTGGATGGATGGATGTGTGGGTGGATGTGTGGATGGATGGATGGATGGATAGCTGGATGGGTGGATGGATGGATGGATGGATGGATGGATGTGTGGGTGGGTGGATGGATGGATGGATGGATGGCTGGATGGATATGTGGGTGGATGGATGGATGGATGGATGTGTGGTGGATGGGGATGGGATGGATGTGTGGGTGGATGGATGGATGGATGTATGATGTAGGATGGATGAGATTTTGTTAAGAGTCGTTGATGATGAATGGTGGGTGGTGGATGGTGATGGATATGAGTATGGATGTGATGGAGTAGGATGGGATGGATGTGTGGGTGGATGGATGGATGTGTGGTTGGTTGGGTGGGTGGTGGATGGAGTGGATGTGGGTGGATGGGTGGATGGATGTGGTGGGTGGATGGATGGATGGATGGATGGTGGATGGATGGATGGAGTTGGTATGTGGTGGGTGGATGGATGGATGGATGGAATGAGACTGTGATTGTGGAGTGATGGATGGATGGTGTGGTGGAGATTGGATGGATGGAATGGATGGATGGATGGTGGATGGATGGAGTGTGGGTGGATGGATGGATGGGTGGACGGATGTGTGGGTGGATGGCTGGAGTGGTGGTGGATGGATGGATGGGTGGATGTGTGGCTTCGCTTGAATAGGAGCTCTCTCCCGCGCTGTAACTGAGTTGTGCTGTAAACTGTTGTTTTCAGATCCGTCAGGCCAGAAGGCTGTCCAGTCCTTGTATACAGAGGTATACGCCATTCTGCAGCGGTGAATGCAGCACGTATGTGACCCCCGTGCCTTTTACCCCCAACCCCTGCACCCCGACCCATTCACCACAGCTTCCCCCTCACCGAGCCTTCACCCTGCGCTCCACAACAGACGCGTTGTGGTCCTTCCTCACTCTGAGCTCTCTGTGCGTCGACGCTGTAGTGTTCATCCATCCTAAAGCTACAGCCAGGCTGAACAGTCACTCCAGCTGTTGCTCAAGCAGCAGGTCTTTGTAGCCACATCTGGAGCCTGCAGCACGTGCAGCTGGATAGTTTGTGCGTTTGGATGAATCTCAGAAACATTCAGAGTTTGAGAGTTTACAGTTCATGCCTGGATCTCACCCAAACCTTTAGTCAGAACTCTGATTATCACAGAAGCATAAGAATCAAGTATTTCCTTCCTGTTTATGTGATTTATTCAGATCTTCTGTTGATTTAAGTTCTTTTCAGCTAATGAAAAGATATAAGACTAGTTCAGTATCAAAAACAGGTTAGAAAAAGTAAGAATAGTAATAAAAAAGGGATTTTAAATCCATAGCCTTGTTTCATTTGTTCAAATCTAAATGTTTAAGATTTATTCTACAGGATTATGGTATCTGAATCTAATTAAATACTTAATTGAATTTATAAAGAAAAGTTGAATTTATTGGAAATGACCCATGTAGACCCTTGTGCAGTACCCTTAAAGCCCACCAGGGGGTGACAGCCTGCACTTTGTGACTCATGGCTCTAAATAGTGAAAGTTCAGATTTTCTTTCTGCCTTCATCGAAATGCATTTTGTTCATGAAGAAGACACTTTATGGAATAATTCAGGGTTTTTGGGTTTGACGCTTCATTTCAGACCTTCTGAATGATTCACATCCAGATTAGACTGAACTTAAACTCATGATAAAAAATTAACAAACTAGATGATCAGATTATTTCCAGTCTTCCTTACATATTTATATCCTGTGGATGGGTTTGTGCCACAGTGTTGTCCAGTCACAGTCGTGCTGCCCTCAGCTTGATGCAGCTGGAAAAAACTCTGAAATTGAGTTGATCAGCTGACCTTTGACCTTTAACTGTAGCTCACAGGCTGAGATGCTTCCTCCACATCGACACTGACGATTTCTTCGTACACTGTTGTTTTGGCAGCGTCCTCCTCGTAACACGTTGACTTTTCTCTCTGGTCCTCCATCGACTGCCTTGGATTAACACGTCCATCCTCTCACATCACAGCTCGTCTCTCTGTCTTTCTTTTATTGATCCAATACGCTCTCGTGTAGGCAGAAACTTCAGCTCCACCCGCTCATGAACATCATCCTGCACCACCTGCACCATCATCTCTGAGGGTTTCACATCGTTTCATTCTTCACTCCTGATTCAGATTTACAGCGTTCCCGACTCCCAGCAGGACTCCACAAAGAGCCTAACTCATCCCGAGTCTCTCTTTTTTATCCCGCTAACACTTTGTCTTTCTGTTTTTCCTCCGTGTGTGTGTGTGTGTGTGTGCGTTTGCCTTACAGAGAGTAAGGTGTGACAGTGACGTACTAACCTTCCCCAAATGAGCCCCACCGCCGCCTTCTTCCCGTCCCTCCTCCTCCGCCTGCTGCTGCTCATCGTCCAATCACCAAGCCCCGATGCCTCAGCTTCTTAGCACCTGCTGCTTGATCCCGCCCTGCTCCCTGGCGGCTGCGGCGCCACCCATTCGTACGTGTTGCTTGTATCTGCATGAAGCCTTGTTTAAACTCACAGCATTTCACTCGTGTGTAACTGTTTGTCCATTGAGAGCAGGTTAGCCAGCTGGAGGATTGTGGGTATTGTAGTGTTTAGAACCCCCTCTCTCCATTAAAGTGGCAAAAGAAGGTCACGGTGCTTTAATGTGGCTGCCCGTGCTGTTAAATCATCAAAGAGAACGTCCTTGGCTTCACCTCTGTAAGCTGTCCTTGCTAGAGTAACTTAGTTTGTCTGCTGTTACTGATCATCATCTTTTACAGTGTTCATTGCACCCTCCCTGAAAGCTTACTGTCCAAGCACTGCCTAATAACAACTAATATTATTATTATAACACTGAGGAAGCTTCTTTGCTTTTGCTGCCACTTGTCTGTCTGCTACTTTTGCCTAGCGATAGGGATTATTGTGCATTTAATGGGGCCCCTAAATATGCAGGCTGATCAATCAGGTCTGATTCTAATCTAAAATAGGGATTAGAAGATGGTGATGACTGATGAGCATCTTTAATATCAAGCGAGCAGCTTTCGTTTCACAGAGCCTGATCCGGATGTTTCCGATTAAATTGGCTGTAAGCTCCACGTTTTCACTGATTCTGTGACTCGAGCTTTACATTTTACTGAGCCAACACACGGAGTCTAATGTCAATATTTTCCAGAGCAGTTTCAGGAGTTTAGTCTACTTTAATCCAGGGAGCTGACGAGGACATGTGGTCACACAAAGACACGGAGTTTTAGTTTTAATGCTGTTTTGAAGAAAATGTAGGAAACGTCAAGTTTTTAGCAGCAAAGTTTTAGTTTAGACTTTCAGTTTTTTTTAGAGGAAGAAAAATAATGTGGCTGAGCTGCAGCTTGATGAGAAGCTCGGGCCTGAATGACTCTGACAGCGTTTCCTCTTTTCCATCTCCATCACACACTCATCCATCCATCCACCCACCGAGCCCTCCATCCATCCATCTATCTCTCCATCTGTCATTCATAGTCACCGCTTCTGCCTCACCACTTCCTTCTCTTCCCTCCGTCTCCTCAGGAGCACAGTGACCACTCCCCTTCCACCTCCACCTTCTACCTCCCAGTCGATGAGGAACCCCAAGACTCGCAGTCCCCAGAGAGTGCTCAGCCTCGCTCTGGACACGCGCCATCGGGACAACTTCCTGGGCCTCCTCCCCTGGAGGCTGAGCGGGGTCCAGTCCGTGATGGTGCCCCTTCCCCCGGCGCGCTCCCGCCTGTCCCTGCAGGAGACACTGCAGCCTTCAAAGTGAAAGAGGAGGACAAGCCGGCGTGGGGAAGCCCCAGCGGCGTCTCCGGGTCCCAGCTCCTCCTGGCTGAGGATCAAGATGTGCACATAACCCTGTTCTGACAAACTCTAATGGACACACACACACACACACACTTGTGCACACTGTCAGACTCTGCGTGTCCTGCTGAACCTCCTGGGACCAGTTCTTTGTTTTGTTTTTTTGGGATGGGACCTTCCTCCGCTGTTTTCCCTTCCTATTGTCTTCCCTTGTATCCTACAGTCTGTCACTCCAGGCAAACGACAAACATGGCTTGCAGTTACACGTTTCAGCGGCGCCGCGAGTCTCACTTCCTGTGATGCACCAAAGTTTGTGTGTTTGCTTCCAGCAGCATGGAGGACTGACTGAGAGACTGACTAATCCCACATCTCGGTGTTTTTCATTTTAAACTCGCGCAGAGAAGCTCGGGGTCCAGATTCACTGAGCAGAGGTCGCTGAGCGGCCAGCTTTCATGAGCAGGTTTCCAGAGGTCACGCTTACTGAATATTTCCCGTCGTCAGTGATGGAAAAATGTGTCATTTTCTTAGATTAGAAAAGATGCTGGTCTGTCTCTTTCATAAGACAGCACTGAACACAAGTCACGCAGCAGGGTCATGCAGGCATCTGTGTCTGCCACGGGTGATCCTGCTGCAGGGAAAATCCCGCATTGAGAAACTTTGGGTGGCTTCTGATTCCTGAAATGCAGAAGGACGGCTTAGCCTTGAGAATAAAATAATAGCTGTTTGTCTGAAGGAAAATAGAGGAAATACGCCTCTGCAGAAGCCTCCCCCGATAGATTTGATTAAGCTTCCAGCTTTAGTTCATTTACTTCATATTTGGTCACCGCGACTACAGTGCTTTAGAGCCTCTGCGATGAAAGACAATCATCTGCTTCATGTTTGCTTTGGAAGATTTAAAGCTCTTTAATGAAGCAGGCATTCCCAAAGTGAAGAGTGCTGCAGCCCGTTTAAAGACGGGAAACTCACATGGAGCACGCCCAATCTTAAATCTTCACCAAAAATCAAAATACAAGTGATGTATTTGCTTAAAAATTATATTTAAAAAAAAAATACAAAAATCAAATTGGCTCCAATGTGTGAAACTTCAGCACCGAGCAGTAAATTCAGGTCAGAGTAATGAGTGATATCACTAACTGGCCATGTCATATTAGCAATTTTAAATCACTTGTTATATAAAGAAATAGGTTTATATTAATATGTGACTGGAGTCCACCAGGGGGCGCACACTTTCGGAATGACTGTAATAACGAATTCAAATAACCGGTAAAATTAGGCTATGATGGAACTTCCGTTTGTCAAGTGTCGTGACCTCTGTTTGCAGCGTTTCCACCTCCTTTTTTAAGCGCTTATTTAACCAAAGAAATTTATTTGAAAGCTGCAGTGAGTGAAGGTTTATTTCCGTTTCTCATCACCGTCCTTCGAGAACACTGCTAACGTCTGTGAGGTTACTTCTTCTTTCCAGCATGCTAACTGGTATCTCCAAACCAGCAAGCTTTTTTATTTGTCTCTCAGCACCAGCACGTTACCAGTTAGCTTGCTAAGTAGCCGCCAAGGTGCTCCAAACATCAGCAAGACTCCAGCGCAGCTTTGAAAGAAAGAAAAGCGCCTCTGGTGGTAAAACGCGTCGCTCTGGCCTGTTTTAAGCGAGTGAAGCCTGATCAAGGAGGTGAAAAATCTAAGATGGGCTTTAACAGAAAGCTTCTGCTGTCCTTTGTTTTTATCCAAGGTCAAGTCCTTCTCCTGGCTCTGTTGGAGGCCTCCAGCTGTTAAAAAACGAGTTTCTCTCCGTTTATTTGCTTGTAGGGGATTGTTTGATCGTCTGGGTTTTATCTTAAAGCGCCTTGAGATGGCTTGATGTGTATCGGTGCCTCTTACTTTGATTCCTGTTCATGTTATCTGATCCTCAGACTTGCACATGAGCCTAAAATTCAACCATGATTACTAAATAACCCTGAAGCACCCGAGGCTTTGTCGACTTTTGTGCGTCCACAGAGTTGAAGTCTTCAGACGTTTACGCCTCTGAATCCTGCGGTTGGGAATCTTTGCTCTGGCGTCAGGACTGAAAACGTGCTCGGCTGTTGAAACTGCAGCGGCTGTAATTAGTGAGATCGCTCTTTATCTCAGCTCTGTCCAGTTTCAGCAGTGAATTTAATTTCTTATTAATAAAGCCGAAACCTTCCATCTGCGGTCCAGTTGCTGCTTTGCCACATTTCCAGATTTATGATATTTTTTTAAAATCCAAAAGAGAAAATGAGTCTGGCTGAAGCTGTGTTCAGACTCCAAGTGTGACTGTTGCTTCTGTCCTCTCCCTCACTGCACATTCGCGCCGCTGCACTGCTTTCTAACTGATGACGTATTTGTTTCAGTCTTTGGCTGTAAGATGTGGGGACGTGAAACCAAACTGGACGTGTAAATGAGACTCTAACACTCGGCGGCAGGTTTTCGTTCCTCTCGGCGTCCGGCTGCGAGCTCTGGTTGTGGGTGTTTCTTTTTCTGCGGTTTCGATGTGCTTTTAGTTTCTATGATAATATTATTTACAGTGATGAAAAATCGAAACATATATGTTGTTTAGTGAGTTTTTTTAAACACGTGTGCGCGAGTGCACGCACACGGCCCTCCTTCCTGTTGTTCCCCGTTCACCATAAGCTGGTTAAAGTGCCTGCCTTGTTCTTACTAAGAAAAATGATATAACGATGAGCTCTTTTGACCCTTTTTAGTGTGAACATGATTCTAAAAACATGTGCTCTATTTATTAAACGAAATTTGGAATAATTTGAACTGGTTCATGTGTCTGCTTTACTTTACTTTTATGGGGCGATCGTGGCTCGAGAGTTGGGAGTTCGCCTTTTAATCGGAAGGTTGCCGGTTCGAGCCCCGGCTTGGACAGTCTCGGTCGTTGTGTCCTTGGGCAAGACACTTCACCCGTTGCCTACTGGTGGTGGTCAGAGGGCCCGGTGGCGCCAGTGTCCGGCAGCCTCGCCTCTGTCAGTGCGCCCCAGGGTGGCTGTGGCTACAATGTAGCTTCATCACCAGTGTGTGTGTGTGTGTGTGAGTGACTGGGTGGATGACTGGATGTGTAAAGCGCTTTGGGGTCCTTAGGGACTAGTAAAGCGCTATATAAATACAGGCCATTTACCATTTACTTTTATGGACTGCACACTAATTATTACACAGACGACATTTCTGGCACTTTTGCTAAAGTTGAGAAGGAAATTTAACAAAACAAACAGGAAGCGGGAGGCTGAAGAGACCATCCAATGAAGACAGAAGGAACAAAATAAAACACATGAACATGATCAAGCTTCAGAGGGCTGAATTCAAAGAAACCCTGAAAAAGTGATGCAGGAGGTCAGTTTTTCTGAAATGTCATTGCAGCAACAGAAAATGGTCCTGAGTAGTTTGGACAGCCCCGATGTGCTGGAAGCATGCATGTCTGAGAGCATCGGGGCGTACTCCTACTGTGTGGGGCTCAGTCAGTGGCAGTGATTGCTTCATCCTCTAGAATCTACCTGCATACTCTCAGCACGTGACTTGGCCAGAGAGGAGGAACCCAGCACTCACTGCACCAGCGTGGGGTCTGGATTTCACCCTGACACCTAATGGTAGTCAGGGTGCCGTTGCCTGTAGAGGTCTGTACGTTAGCTGAACGATGTTACAGCCAGCGTAATGTTCTCCACAGCTTCTCCAGACCCTTGCATGTCTGTCACGTGTGCTCGGTGTGAATCTGCTCTCATCTGTGAAAAGTGCAGGGCAACAGCTGATGTTCTATCGGCCTCACGGTGCCGGGCAGTGAGCACGGAGACCACTAGAGGGTGTCGAGCCCTCAGGCCATGAATTTTCTTTCTGATGGTTTGGTCAGAGACGTATACACAACAGTGGCCTGCTGGAGGTCATTTTGTAGCTCTGGCACAAAGGAGCAGATACCAGTCCTGATGATGGGTTAATGGCCTTCTGTGGCCCTGTGCAGCTCTCCTGAAGTCACCGCCTGCCTCCTGGACTGACTTTAAGACTGTGCTGAGAGACACAGCGAACCTTCTGGCTGTTGGACTACCTGTGCAACCGACCATCAATATCCCAGGAGTTTCACTGATGTGATTCTATAATCCAATTTGTTGCTTTCATTTTTTGCGCAGTATATAATGCGAAAACTAAACTTCAAAGTAAAACCGGAAGTTACTGTAGGACAAATAACAGGGCAAAGTTTAGTCCTGCTGGAGCCACTGAGGTTTACACCGACGTGCAGGCTGATTTCACAAGACTTTGAAAAGTAAAAGCTGCTTTTGATTTTAGACTTTAGCTTCTGAATTTTATCATGAATTCAATATTTTATGACATCTCTGCACCTATTGGAGACATATGAGAACCAGTCATTTAAAGAAGTATTCAAACAGGAAGTATCATTTTCTACAGGACTACAAAAAAATAAAACACCTGCCTAATGTTTGTGCGGGACCTGCTTGTGCCTGTGCATGGAGGTGAAACCACAGGGATGTGCGGTGCTGGCTGAGACTGGGAAATGACAGCAGATCCTGAGGGTTCAAACTTTGCACTTCTGCTCCTCGAGTGACTGATCGGTGTATGTGTGATGCTGCTGTGAGAACTGGACTCACTGAAATGGACCTCTTTGTGCTGTTAGTGCATTTTTAACATTTCTGATAAATCATATGACTTCCTGTGTCCTGCAGACCAACTCTGACCTCTGGCTCCAGTGTAAGGCTTCTGTCTTTTATATACAGTCTCATGCTGAGGTAAGCTCAGAGACACTTTGTAATCATTCCGAGTGGTGAAGCGCAGATAACAGTGAATACAACACATGCCAGAGTAGACCGAGAAATAGCAGTGCATGTGCAAGTGTGTCCACTAGGTGCCACTGAGCTGTATGTTGTAAGCCTCCTCACACACGTAGGTGCCTCCCTTTAGGCACTTTGTCCTGACTTACAGTTGGAAGAAGCCTCCATTCTTCATGCAGTGGTCTCATCGGGTGGAGGCTCTCCAAACGAAGTCTTGTGAGGTGCTCGCTGGTCATTAGGTCATGATTTCCTGAGCATCAGTCCTTTAGCACCGTGAAGAGTTACATAAGATGTGTGATTAATCTGAGTTGACGCTCGATGCAGAGAGCACGTCCCCCATTGGCTCGCTCAGACTGCAGTAATGAATCTAAGTTGGACTGCTCTCTGGGGGGGGGGGCTGACTGCATAACTGTGGGGAAAGCAAAAAAAAGCAGCTCCATACAAATCTGTATCACATAAAAACTCATTGCCTAATAGTGTGTTGACCTTGTTTCACCAGCTCAGCTATGAGCCATCAGGGAGTGTCTGTGTTCCCGTGCATGCTGAGGATGTTCAAGTTCTAGCAGACTTTAATCTGTTTGTAGGGTTGGCGAGTTTCTCGGGTTCTTTTTATGCCACGTTTCATGGCCATAAACCTGCCGCTGCCACGTGGGACAGTCACCAGTGTAATAGACAGTGACCATTCAGAGTGTATGCTGCTCCACACTCAGCTTTAAACGCACACCACCATCCAAGTAGTTGTAGTGTGACCCCCTGGGCTCAGAAATGAAGGGTAAATGCCAAAATTGCAGTTCCTCTATTGGCCACTGGGGGCTTCAAAAATGACTCAGTCTCCATCGGTCCCCATAGACTCTCATGTTAAAATGTACAAGTTTAGAGCAGAAATAAACATGTTTAGCTCCTGCTATAAGTAATGGTTTTGATTTCTACGGATAATTTCCTTTCATGATAACTGTGGAGAGGCATGACTTTATTCATAATGCATTCCTTTGGATGCTAGTAAGACCTAAAGTTCCATCCAAAAAGCTTCTGCCTCAGTTTGGGTGTTGCTGTCTCAGAGGAGTGGCGTGTAACGCAGCCCAAAGACAGAGCTTAATACATACAACCAAGTATAAAATGAATGCAGGTACCTTTGGAAAAAATAAACTTCAAGACTGAAAATAATAAAATCGGTTTAACATTATTTTAAAATAAAGCCCAATAAGGGAAACGTCTTCACATAGATGTGGGAGTGAAAATAATAATAATATTAATAATCTCAGCAGCCCCTCTGCATACATCAGAAGCTGCACAGAAATGGAAACATACAGCAGTTTAAACGTACATTCATGAGGATAAAGGGAAGCTCGTTTAGTCTGATACATAAAGGCGCCAGGAGTTAATGGAGCTGCTGGTGTCTAAACACTGTCCTCACCTCATTATGGAGCAGCTGCTCTTCTCCAGCTGTTACAGGCAGCTCAGCTAGAGGAACTCTGGCTTCACATCGAGTTTATCTAAACTTCCCTAAACCTCCGTTATTCATTTCTGGGGATAAATCAGACACCCGGCGAGTCTCTGAGGTCTTTTAAAGCATCTAATCTGTGTTATTATTAGCTAGCAAGACACAAAACAATAAAAATAGATTCACTGCTTTTGAAAAACTCGAGCTCCGTGTTTCACTCTGTAAATACAGATGGAAGTAAATCAGATGAAGTGCAGGGTTTGATTGGAGGTCTGTCAACAAATCCCCAAAAGGGACTTTTTATTTCCCCATTTATCTGCCAACTACTCCTGACATGAGCTCTAAAACTGAATACAGTGTCTTCTTCTGTATTATTTTTGTGCTTCTTTCTCCAGTGACTCATCGATCCATTTAAACCCAAAGCTGTTCAAAGGTTGATATGGCTGAAGTTCACTTCAGGTCAGCCCCTCAGCTCAGCCAAAGACCAGCTCAGCAAGTGCGGGTAATGGACCTTTTGGAGCGAGCAGCCTCCGTTACAGATGCTTCGCTCGTGTGGACTGTCTGTTTCTCCTGATCAAAAAAAGACCTGAAATCTCCTCCAGATGAAGTTGTTAGTTTGTCAATGAAAATAAGAGGATGTGATGCTACACGATGTGGAGATCCGGCCTGACCTTTGATTCAAGTGTGTGTGTGGTAGATCTCTCAGCTCATCATGACCCTACCTCTCCAAGGTACAACAGAATTCAGCGTCCTACTGCCGCCATCTTTGATGCTCACCAGTTAATGCTTATTTCTTGCTTGTGGTTCAGCAGACTTTTTCTTAGTTGGGCGGTGTTACTGCCTGGAGTGCTTTCCCAGTAAAACCACAGCAGTTCTTGGTGCATAAATGCTCCACCTCTGGTTTTAGTACTTGCTTTTTTTTCAGACTTCATCTATGTTGAAGAACACCACATGCTGTACATGCCACTTTGATCGTGAGTGGAGCTCTTCTTTCTGTCAGTGTAAAGATGTTTAACTGCTGAGATATTTTATTATAAGATTTAAAAAAAGGGACCCGATTGGAGTCTTTGCCAGCCCAATTCTGGCCCCCGGACCTTATGTTTGACACTCCCAGCTTAAAGAGAAATTAAAGAGATAAATTATTTTTCTTTTAAGGCAACAAAGGACGTTTGTCTGTCCGCCTGTCGGTCCTCCCATGTTCTTCTAATCTCACCTTAAGCTCAGTCTTCTGGTCAGGCTGACCTGATCAGAGCTCGTCTCACAGTCTTAATCTGACACACGAGGAAGCTTTTTTTTCTCCTTGTTGCACAACCTGCCGTCCTCCCCACGCTGGACTAGATTCAGTCTATGCTGATGTTTTGTTAGAGCTGGACTGCAGCCACCTCTCATCTGTTTAATGAAGACAAACTTAACAAAACAAATGGGAGTGAAGGATGGGCTGGCCCTGGATTTATATTTCAGTGGTCCCCTGCTAATAGAATTTAGGGGAAAGGACCTCGTGTTCCTTTACTGAAAGAGAGAGCGAGACAGAAACCAACCGGTGCTGC